CTGGAAAGTAATATCAAAATAGTTATTTGTTTCATTAGTACAAAAAATGTCAGTTTTCGGGACGAGGAAGATAGTTGCTGGACGACGCGTTAGCGGAGTCCAGCAACCTTCCGAGTCCCGAAAACGCATTTTTTGTACGAATAAAACATAAAATTTTTTCTCCAACCCCCTTTACTTCAAATTATATTCGAATTTATATTCAGTCACAGTTTCACTACTATAGTATAAGAACTTCTGCTTTCTTGTCCTCACGTGTCATGCCACTCTAGTTTTTAGGTTAACTTATAACCTATTCGTTCTTACTTCTCACCTCTCGCGACTTTGTAGGGAGCAAATCTTGAGGTAGCATGTTCTGCCGTTTCTATAATCTCTGGCGGAGTGCAATCCATGTCGCTATCAGTTTCAGTCATTTTATTCTATACACAATTAATATTGTTATATTTTGTATTGAAATAAAAAGCTTACCATAGTTTTTTAATTAATAGTTATTTGTGTACCAAGGCCGTAAAAGTGATCTTTTTTGGCCGAAGCTGCTGTTTGTGGCCGAGGCGGTAGCCGAGGCCGCAATTCAGATGAGGCCTAACAAATCACTTTTGGCCAAGGTGCACACAACATTTTTTAGGCGATCATCAAAAAAGAATTCAAAAATTTGCTCATAAACATATTTTTTCTGAAAATCATAGTTATCTTAGACAATTAAAAACAAAGCATTTCCTGTCATATGTAATTATAATTAGCATCTTTGCGTGTGTTTTTTGCGTATCAAAATGGGTGATAGCGACAGTTCAGATACCCCAAATGAAATTTTGGAAGCTGCAAGCGTTGCGACCCTAAGTCATAGACTCATATATGATATAAGAGCAGGCGTTTGAGAGTAAAAGTACAATCGCAACTTCCTCCGTTGTACAAAATTTTAATAATGCAATAGGTCTTTCGTAACTGTGGCTTCCAAGACCTTATAGTTAACATGCTGTACAATTATTAGAAACCTGATTACCTACTTTGATGGTAGGTATAGGCAGCTACTTGTGTTCTCGGTTAATTGCTGGTGATTCTTCGTATAATAATGTAAGCAATAACATCTTCCTCATGTTTTGGTTCAACACTTCAAAAAGGTCTGCAAGCAGCAAAGATTGAAACGTCAAACTATAATTTTAAATGTGAACATTGTGATTATGCAAAATAGTGTGAAACATTCCTACAAGTCCGAAAATGGAAAAAACGCACGTGGATGGCCCAATCCTTGATGGGGCTAGACCAGATAGACGCTTTGTATCAAACAGATTACTGTTTCTCACACATCAGTTTCAAATAAGTAGGTACAGTTTGACAGATGTGTACAATAAAGTAAAGTTTGACAGAAGCGTACAATAAAGTTAAACTTTATGGCCGCAAAAGCGACTACAAAATCAACGTTTTTGTGATGATAGCCTAAAAAATTAATTGCAATTAACTTTTTCAAATTTTGAATTCAAAATGACAGATAATAGTGCAATGGGTCTGAAGTAGATGGCGTTACGCGCGACGGCGGGGTGTGTACGTATTAAAATTACGTTCACCGAATATGTAAATTACGTTACACATGGTTTAAATAAAAATAGCGAGCGTAAATCATTTTCAATACATGTACATACGTATAGGTAACAGCATTATTTGCATTGAATATGCAAAAATATTTGATTTGTATTTATAGAAATATCTTACAACCTGCAATGTAAAACGATGTCAATGTGACATATCTCCGCCATTGTAATTTTTTAATTGGCCAACTTTCAAGGTCAATTTCTTTTTGGTACTAGGACCAAAAGTATCCACTTTTTGTACAGTTGCCATGGTGAAAGCGATTAATCCGCAAAACCTCAATTTTACGTACCGAACACTGTCACAAAATAGCGTCTTATTCAGGTGGTTGGAGAAAAACACCATTGTTGACATAGGCTATAAAGTGCTTTTGAGTTATGCAGAAGCTCCACACGCATTTCAAATCCAACCGAGAAGCTAGGTACAATTATCTATAATTAAGAACACCCAGAATTTTTATTCCTTCACAGAATAGTGACGCGTATAACGAAACCATCTTCAAACGGTACGGTAACTGAGTGTAAAATACAATGTAGGGTAATTTTCGTGTATCGCACCGTTCCAACGCTCCTATTCTTTTATATTAAGGTTTGTGTTAAAGTAGCCGTCAGAAAACCGAAAGTTGCTAAAAAATGCATTGCATTGTTTTGCCTTCGTGCTTACTGGTTTAATAAACAATGAATTGGGGTTTACAAGGCGGTAGAGTAATTGAGTGATTTAGAACTGTATTTAACACCTTTTCTTATTCATTGTTCTTTAGAAAATCGCTAAGGACGAGTGATGGATTCATTTTATGCGCTTATACGTTATGTAATTCATCCATCATTTAAACATTACACTTTTTACACAGGACTGCTATGTTTCTGATGGGTTACTGTTAGCAAAACAAATAGCATCGTATCTTTATTCTACACTTGGGTAAGTTTTTCGAGGTTTTTCAGTTAAGCGCTACTTTAAGATAGACTCGTAGAAAGTGTAATGCACGTTATATAATTCAGAGAGCGAAACGTAATTCAGATGCACATTTTAAAAATTAATAATTTACCGATATTAATACATGTTGAAGGATTTCACAATCTAATTCCCATTCTAATCTTTCAGCCCTCTTTAAGTTCCCGCATGTCATGAATCATTCAAGAATTAATTTACATATAGTAGTATAAAGTTGAAATTCAACTTGTTAAGTTTTCTCGTGTCAGACGAAAAGTGGTCTTTTCAACAGCACTCCAAACTTTTATTACAAAATAGTGCTACAGTCAGAATAAACTGCATATATAACATATTCACATAGAAACTAATTACTTCCTACTTCTTCTTCGGAAACGATTTAGTCAAATCATTAAAGGCGAATATCATTACTCATTAGCATACGATGTTTAAATAAGCAGTGAAGAAGACATTCCGAGAGGCCGTTGCAGAATGACCCATTGCATTTTCAAGTAGATATCTTTCTATGCTAGTAGTCCAGGCAACGAAGGAAAAATAGCGGAAATAATTCATGTAGAAGCAAATTTTTGCACACTTGTAGAGGAAGGTGTTCTTAACAACATACTAAAAGTCCTGAGGGGTGAGGGTGGAGCTAAGGGTGCAGGGGGTGTCTAAAGGTCCTATTTTTCAGTTTTTTGTCAATAACTCGTAAAATAATGCCTCTACCAAAAAAATGTTGGTATACTAAATTAATCTACATAAAATTCTCTATAAAAAAGGTTCTATACACTTTTTTGCTAGGATCAATGCTGAAGGAGATATGGAGGTGGGAGAGGGTGTACAATTTTAGAGTTTTTTTTTAAAAAAAAGAAATGTTTTAAGTTAAAAATAACATGTTTATTGTTAAAAATGAAGTGATTAGTGAATTAATTATGTATCTTGACAATTAAATAATTAATTTTTCAACAATAACAAAACGACAATAATAATATAATTCAAATTTTTTTTGTTAGTTGCAAAATAGTGTAAATGGATAAATCAATGCTCGTGTGTTGACAGGTGTGCCTATTGTTGTGTGCGTCGTTAGAGCCTGAGACGGAAGGGGTGACTGACCTACTCTCCGTACCACCCCTCCCTAAATCAGTGCCAGGTAGTTTTTACGATGACCATTGCTCATTGCTCGCCCTTAGTCAGGTTAACATTAACCGTCTTGGGGTTCGTGAGTTTTAAAAATACGTACCTACCTGGTTTGATTACATGAACATTTCCACGCGTTAAGACTATGGCTAAGAAGTGTTTAATTTGTGAAAGTGAAGTTGAAAGTGATTTGTGTAACATCGGTAAAAAAGGGATAATTGGTTTAGTGAAGGCAAGTGTGTTAAGGAAAGATGGAAAAGGTTCTATACACTTTTTTGCTAGGATCAATGCTCAAGGAGATATGGAGGTGGGAGGGGGTGTACAATTTTAGAAAAAACTTTTTTTTTTTTTAAATAATTAATTTATGTAGATTAATTTAGTATACCAACATTTTTTTGTTAGAGGCATTATTTTACGAGTTATTGACAAAAAACTGAAAGATAGGACCTTTAGACACCCCCTGCACCCTTAGCTCCACCCTCACCCCCCAGGACTTTTAGTATGTTGTTAAGAACACCTTCCTCTACAAGTGTGCAAAAATTGGCTTCTACATGAATTATTTCCGCTATTTGGTATTTTTTGGTCTTCGTTGCTTGGACTATAGTAGTGGTCATTGTATCAGGTCAAATACGGCATTTCGCGAACCAAATTTTTCCGTTGAAAGGGTTGGTACTTAGGGCCCAAGGATGGATTTAAGAAGTGGGGCTCCTCAATGTTTTCAGGATAACTACTACGTCAAGTTTGGTATCGTTTTTTTATATATTGGGGATGCCGAATTCATTTATGGTATCATATTTTCACCGTTCCGAAGCAAAAACATATAAATTAAGTATAGCTACTTGCCAATATTATATCTCTAATTCAATTAATTATTATTAATTGAAAAGAATTTACCTTAGAATGAAGTATTCCGATAGTGGATTCGCACTAAATATTATTAACTCTTCTACTTCTTTCCTCTATCAACGGGTATGCTTGACTAACTATACGAATGCTTTCTTTACAAGTTAAATATCCATTTCGTTAATAAACTGAATAGTCGAAACCAAATCAAAATAAAAGAAATACAAAACAGATCAACTTATGGCATATTACTCCTACACCGCAAATGCTTGATCATCTGGACCTCTTTTCAATTTATTGTTCGTTCCAAACCTGAAAAACTAGATAGAGATTTTAGTTGTACTAATGCCGAATGCGCTATGATCTACTAGCAATCGCATAATATTCGGGTTTTCGCTTACAATGGCATCTTAGTAAGGTGTAGCGTCTTGGTCGGTACCTATATTGCGATGGGAGTGGAAAAACTGGAAATAAACTAGAATCAAGGGAAAATAATCTTTATTAATCCGAAATACATTTCTAAACTTAAATTAGTCAACCTGCCTTTTTCCAAATACGCACCAACAAAAGCGCAAAGTCACGAAAAATACTATTTCAGCTAGGCTCAAAACACTTGCACCCAAAAGAAGACCAGTTGCTCCTCCAAACTGAACTAAACATTAATGTATTAATATCGTTCAGCAACGAATCTTTGTCTACCTATTAGATTGCTTCCACTAAAGATTAGACTCCTCTTGTAACGAATTTCGGGGTACTTTATCAGATCCCATTCAACATTGGTTCCCAAAAACCAATCAGTGGTCTCAACCGAGTCAATTGTGAAGACATATTCATCACAGTTTGTGTCACAACCATGACAGCTTGATATGCCCAACGCCTCTATTTCCTCTTTAAGAAGATGTACAGTACACTAACTTCTACAGTTCTACAGTTTTACAAATAATACCTAAATTTTTAAATAAGCAGTTCATTCCAGCTGGGTTACAAATGGGATCGGGCCCTGTAATTTACGGGTTATTTAGTTAATGCATATAAAGAAGTACATTACCTAGTCTCCTGAAATAGTACGGTGTGCAATTACAAACGCGTAAATAAACTTTCATCCGGCATTCCATGAAGCATAAATGATGACTATAGACGGGAGTGTATTGTAAGTTTCCTTCACTGGTTAGCCTGCAATGCCTCTGGCTTACCTGCAAGTCTTTTACTTCTGGAGATGTGGAAAGGTCTGAGAGTGTTAACTGAAATTTAGAAGCCGTGGCTGCCGGGATATTTATAGGCGTTGAATAATAATCAGGTAATTCGTTATATCCATGAAAGAATATCTAAAACAGAGTTATGTAATTATCAAAATTGAGTAATAGGTTGTACTTTGTAACCGGCGGTCAATTCCATTAGTATTGCAGCAGGCTTTGATATGCTTGGATTGACCATTAGTGCAGGTGGGGTTGGTACTAATTCCAAAGTATTATTTAACCAATATCTAAGCATCGAACGTGTAATGAACTAACTATCACTTAAAGTTAACTTGCATGCACCCGTTATCCTTCGACAGGTTACACATGTTGATCATAAGTGATTAATTAAGGTTGATTTGAAATGATTTGTTGGCGTACAAATGGTTAATAATAGTTTTTCATGGCAACCGAAGGCATAGTAACCGGTTAACAAGTTTTGCTCACTAGAGATCAAACGCACGTTTTGCTAATAAACGAACAATAAAGAGCAAAGTATGCTATTAATTTGATTGTGCAAAAATTATGTAAATGCGTTCTTCTTAAATAATAACCAATAGACGGATCTATGTATCTATCGACGGGTAACGGATGCATGTAGTAAATTCGCTCTTACTCATAGGAATTATACACCGCAATCTCCGAATTATACGTGTAACATAATCCATGCTCAGAGAGGGTCATTACAAATTCTCGTACTTCTCCAAACTTTTGCGTAAATTGATTTGGATCAAAAGGGGCCCTTGAATTTACAACCCATTCTACGTACTTATCAACTTGGAAATAAATAGAATCGCTCGAATAGTTTGCAAAAGCCGAATAGTTCTCAAATTTCCCAAATGCCAGAACCTCCAAAAACTCTGGGAATTTCGATCGTTCTTTTTTGTCAGTAATATTTAATTCTCTGAAAATGCGCAAAGGGTTATTAATAATAGGTAAAACGCAAACACCAGGTAGCTACGACTCTTTGGTAAGTTATTAAAACCGCCCAAAGTCTAAAAACCCGTGAAAATCCTATGATCGACGTACGGTATTAAAAATTAATGGAAAAAAAGCCCAACTGCAGTTCTGAGGGCAATTAAAACTGGAGATCCTCAAAATTAGGTAATAATTTGCTAACTGTAAGTATATTTGGTTAGGGTTGTACTTATGTTAGGTTATTTTCAGAATGTTGACCAATGTATGTCCAATGACATCTGAAATCTGAAAGCCCACCGCCATCTTATCAATTGAAGAACGCCATAGAGATGAGGTTCTACCTTACCGGCAGAATCAGTTACATCGAAGGTTACACCTGGAGATTTCGATGTTCCGGAATTGTAACTACAAGTATACGGAAACCCCTTTGGAGATTAATGTCCCTGTAAATCATCCCGTTATACCTGATACTTTGTTTTTGCCTTTGCGAAGAATATACCGTCCGACAACTTACCGTTTTTGTTGACGATTACTTTTGTTACTCCGAAGTCTCATTCTGTTACTTTGATTACATTGTATCCTCCTTCAGATTAGGTGTGTTATTTTAGATAGATACTAGTACCGTTGCTTTGTGAATTAATTTGAAACCGATAACTAAATTTTTTTTGGTTAAGTTGGTTTGGTTAAGGACTTGGTTGCTGTTGCTTATGAAAAGCACATATTACTGGAGAGAATAAAAACCGGAATGAGCCTTCAAATCCTATAAAAAATTAAAAATTGGGAATTCTAAGACACAAGAGTTGCTATATCATACAACTGCAAAAATACAGGTAATAAAGATTTGAACTTGAGAAGATTTGTTGTCACTCTCTTAATGCCTTGCCTCATATTTTGAGAGAACAAGAAATGTAAACTTTATTTCTGCCAGGGAGGTTATGATAACTTTCACAAGGATTTGAACTCTTTTCCAGATTTTCGTGAGCTCCAGGAATGTTTTTATCGCCTTTCAAATCGGTCCCAAGACTCATTACTATCCGCCCGAGAGGTTTTATGCCAATTGTGGTCAAGTACATTTCGGGAAATCGAGTGGACTATGGGAAGAGGAGAGCTTATGTTAGGGAAGTTTTGCGATCTATTCTTGCTTACAATTCCGGACACTTTTGGCCTCTCAAGTATCTGCTGAGGACACCCCTTCCTCCGGGTACATGGACACAAGTAGACAAATATTTCGGGGCAAAGTCAATCAATCCAAGGCCAAAGCGAGTGCAAGGTGCAATTATACGTTTGTAACGGGTAATACTGTGATTTTTTTCTTTTCTGTCATGATGCGCAAACGAACGAGGAGAAAAAGGAGATGAGAGTACAGACAGACAAATCGACATCATCCAGATTTTGTTTGATTCGGGTTCTTGGTGCTTAAAAACGTGTACAAAAATCCAATGTGCTGGTGACAAAAAAATTCACAACCAAAAAATATCTTTTTTTTTCATACACCAAGTGGCTAACAAGGATTTTGGGGTTGCAAACTTGGTTATAAATTCCCTGTGGAGTTAATAACATATCAAGAAATACTAGCTACGTGTGAGTTTGCTAACTTTTTTGTACATTAATAATTCGATTGGCCTATGGAATCATTTTAAGACAAAAATAACAGTATTTACCGATTGAACTAAATCGTTTAGTTCATTAGATAGTTTAATTAGAGTGGTCATGTATTCATGTACCTATTTTTTATAGAGATGATAGCATTTCATAATAGGCCTAATAGATATCTAAATTACAAGATCTCTATATAGTAAGTTGTTGTTTCATCGTCTAAGATAAATGGCTATAGAAAAGTCGAATTGTGAGTCACAGTGGATGTTAGATCAAACCTAGTTGCCATGCTATTGTACTATGCGATCAAAAATGAGTTGCTGTCGGGTCTTGTTACATGGGAAATAGTACATAATTTGAATTTCCAAAGGCGAATCGACAGCAACTCATTTTTGATCGCCCGTTATAAAAAAATGACAATTCTTACCTGATTATCTTGTCAACACTCTGAGTATGTAACGCATCAAAACATATTGTAGTTGAAGGGAACGTTACGTTCCAGTTCCAATGATCTCTTTCAACGCTAATAACTGTAGGCCTCGTCTGATAATGATCCAGAGCTTCCAAACCCAGCGTAATACTCCATCCTACTGCGGACAAAACTAGCAAAGCCCATAATACTCTAATAATTAGCGTTCATTCAATTACTGCAACTCGCATATACAAAGCAAACTTTTACCTTTCAAACGGACTTACATTCGGTCTGACAATATGTGCAACTCCATGAACCGAGCTTATTCTAGCACAACATAAAAAATGCGATTTAGTACGTTTCCAAACGCTCAAATTTTCTCTTTTTGAATACATTTTCAGATCGTTACCGCGGTTCAGTCGTGCAATAACGAACTGAAACTTGTAATCTCGTTGCTACAATGCATTTGCATGTCACATTACTTTCCAATTAATATTGCGTGCGCTTTTTTCTTTTTGCCGCTTCGAACTTTAAAAGCAGAAATTTGCATTAATTTCTGTTTATTGCCGCGATATCAAGCGAATTCCACAGCACATTTATGGCGGTAATGTATGTGTTTCTCAATAAGCACGAGGTCTTCATGAGACTCTGGGGTACACTTCATATCGATCCTGCTCGAGCTTTTACTGACTTATCTCATAAATTATACAGTTTGTCTCGCTTTAACCCTATTTATTGTTATGATAATGACGAAGAAAAGGTGTAGTTTAAAGGTGGTAAAAGTAAGCGCCTTTAGCCGGATAAGTACCGCTAACAATTCAAAATTAATATCCCCGCATTTAATTGAGTTCGTAGAATTGGTAAGCGCATATACGGCAAAAATAAGAATTTGTTTCAATATTTCTCTAGAACGGCCGCATTCGCTTTCCTTTTAAGCTCAACCCTATCCAGGCGAAATTGTTAATGGGATAATAAAGCAAGTTGTTAGAACCATTTAGCTTCGCTGCGTATATTTTTGCTTGCATAAAGTTCCGCCACTAAATTGCTTTTAGGCGCGCGGAAATCTATGACCAACCTATGCTATAGGAAATACTAATACCTATTATAGTCTAATTACAAAAGGTGTCCGCCAAAGTAAGTGCGTGAAGTTCCTGTTATTCCACTAAATTACAAATGAGCTTGTGTACAAGCGTAGTAAAACACAAATTATTCCCTTGACTCATGGTAAGAAAGGTTTCCCCTAAATTACATAATAGTATGATAAATGTTGTAGTTGTAACTTGTTTCATACCCCTTCGGACATCTACTTTATTGTTCCAATTAATGTTAAAAATATAGATCACACAAAAAAATTACGGTGAATTATAGAAGCGATTCTTCCCAAATTAAATCAAGTCAGAAGGACTTCCTTTTACTTTTTGTTCTCAATAATCATGAGGTATACATGAGTAAACGTTTAATTCCGAGGACTGTCAGAGTCCATAAACTTTTTACAAAAGTTCCTACTACAAGATGAGACACTCTTAAACGAAATAAAGTACCTACACTTTCAGAAATTACCCCATTATACTCCATATCAGGAACGGTGCTTTATCCAACAATTAAATTTGCCCATTTTACTATCAAATATCGGATAAAATGGTTTATCTTTGTTCTCTTCTGAAAAGTAATGAAACAACCAAAAAACAGAAATGGTTCTTGTGTGGACTACGATCGCTGTAGGGAGTAAATTAGTAACAACTAAAAATCGATACAATCGATATTGCGATTGAGTTTGTTAACATGTTTTTCGTCTTCAAGATACTATAGAAGTTTAAAAACCGGACTGGTTGGGATGGGTGGGAGGGGGCCACGGTAACTATAGAGAGAGTTGTTCGATTTACTTGAATTTGTGTGTTTTCCTTTTGGTTTTGTTTGGAATTGCATAACTTTTATTTAAATTCTATCGTTTGTATAAACTATACATATACATTTGTTGTATTTGATTCTGAAACGTGAAATTGCGTGTTAAAATGCAGGGACTTGTAAGTTAATTAACACATGTGTTCTGGTGCTGATAAGAAGAGGTGCAGGTGGTCATCGATGTCCGCAGTATTTTCGACGTAAGAGGGGGCGCATTCCTTCACAGCCGGCGTTATCTAATCTAGTAATTGGCACATTATTTGTAAATACCGGGGAAAGGAGATTATTCTATGGTGGAAATCGCGATCCCTTAAATACGTGAGTCAAGGTAAAATAAGGCTGCTGATCTCAGTTCGCGATGGTGAAAATAGTGAGTAAATTTATTTACGCTAGGTTACTGGCCCTTTTAATTTTATAGCTGTACTACCGCATTACACAACATAAAAGATGATATTATATCGTCAACTGATAAAGGTAAACTAACTTTACTTATTCTGCTAGATTTCAGTAAGGCATTTGATTCAATTAGCCACGAAATACTTTTTGCTATATTAAAATGCTGTGGATTTACACCTAACTCAGTTGACTTAATATCACCCTACTTAGATCATAGAACTCAAAGTGTTGTCATCAATCAAAAACGTTCTGAGGCCCACATTTTGTCAAAAGGAGTTCCGCAAGGTTCAATTATGGGCTCACTATTATTTCAAATTTACACCTCTAAGTTTCTTAACAGCATCAACCACTGCAAAATTCAAATGTATGCTGATGACATTCAGCTCTATTACTCATACAGTCCCGACGCTATTCAAGACAGTCTTAGCATGGTTTCAGAAGATCTAAATAATATTTTCGAAATTTCCGCTAGTCATGGATTAAAACTGAATCCTAATAAATGCGGTGTAATGATATTTGGTAATAAATCAAAATGTGAAATATGTAAACCAATAATAAATCTGAAGTTGAATGACATTTGCATTCCAGCTAAAAACTTAGGACTAATAATGGATAATAACATGAGATATAAGGAGTATTATATCAAAATGCGTGCAAAAATCTTACACGAGTCTTAAGCTTCCCTATCCCCATAGAACGACCTTAGCGATAAGTCTCAAACGAATGCGAGTCTCCAGTTCTTTTAACTTTTTTAATATAGTATATGATCCATGTCTGGATGTTGATTCAAAAAATAAAATACAGAGGGTACAGAATTCATGTCTTAGATTTATTTACGGGTTGCGTAAGACTGATCACATATCCCACAAGCTCAATGATTGTCTCTGGTTAAATATGAATAACAGGCGTACTCTTCATACTACGACTTTTTACCATAAGTTTTTTTTTTTTTTTTTTTTTTAGGTATGGCTTCGACTACTTGGGTCTTCTCGACATTCATACACATACCTTCCAAGTAAAAAGTAAGTATTTTAGAACTTTATATTTTTATACATTGCTGTATATCCCTATTGCTTTCAGGAACTTTAGCACATTCTTCAAGTTTGGTATTTCGTTAAGGTTGCTTCTAACATCTTCCTTTAGGTTAAACCTATCACGCTGATTTACATACTTAACACAATCACAGATTACATGCTTCACAGAGAGATCAACATTACACGCATTGCATCGCGGCCTGGGATCACCCGTCAAAAGATATTGGTGCGTGACATTTGTGTGGCCTATTCTTAACCGATGTATCTTTATTTGTTCATCTCTACGAAAATCTTTCAGGTATAGTTTTTCCTTCACCGATAGTTTAACATGTAATTTTAACCAAAGTACCTCCTTATCTATCTAATAAAATCACCTACCGCTGCGATGTACTTAAGATTTCAAGGTAAAATAACCCCTCCCCCACACAGCACAACCTTTTTTGAGAGATCGTTTTCTTTTAATGTATATACGATTTACAATAATAGCTTACCCAATCGTTTTAAGGAGTTACCTGTGAAGTTTTTTAATTGTAAATATAAAGATTTTTTGTTTAATGAACAATGTACATTTGGAAGATAAATTAGCTTGACACAACTAGATGGAATAACGTATTCAGATAGATATTATTTTTTACAACGCGTTTTTCAGAAGAATATTTACTTGGACTTTGATTTTGTTCGTAGATATATTGAGGTCGGATTGAAAAGCAGACGTTGATCTGAATCCCACCTTACGGTTTAAAACTGTAGTAGTTCACATTATGCATTTATTTTATTTTCTTTTCTTTACACTAATTTTTTTTAATCATTTTTTTACAATTCTCTTTAATTGCTTTTTTAATGGGAATTGTCTCATTTGTTATATGGCTACTGCGTTATTAAATAAAGGTATATTAAATTAAATTAAAAAAATAAAGTCCCCAGTTTGATCCCTTTGAATGTAGAGTAGAATAGTGTAATCAGTTCCATGTACTGTAACTACAATTTTCCAGTTCTAGAAACATTGCGCTTTCTAAAACTGCAGTAGAGTTGACGAGCTTTTTAAAGTATATGTTCTCTTTTAGATCTTCAAGCTTATCGAGTACTATAAGTTAATGAAAGCGTCTTTGATATTCCTTTTGGCGTCTACGTATGTAAGCAAATGAGCTCTCGAATGAGCGTTCGAATAAGCATATGGCCACCCATCATTTTCGCAATGATTTGCTTGGAATGCAACAACCCCTACGGATCCTCGATTCCATTACCTTCCATTATGTATCCTATAGTGCCTAGGTAAGACATGAGTAGATATTAACTTTCATGGAAAGTACGGTTTAAAATATCAAACTAAGGCTAACGGCCTGCATTGATCCACCATTTTGAATGGAAGCTTACGTGAGAAATTATGAGATCTTTCAGGGTTTGTTTTACTTGTCATAAAAAGTTTATCCTCACATTTTCAGCTCATTATGAATGAGTGGGCTGTCTACCCACTATTCGTCCTAAAAGTACTGGGCTAAGAGGATTAGCACGTTCACCTTGAAGATTTTTAAAATCAAACACGATGGAAGTACCTGAACTGAAGATGTAAATTGGCCAGCTACAAATTAAATGACTCTGCGGCTGAAAGCTATTCCAATATAGTAGAAAGTCAGATGCAGTAGTTGGATGACATTTATTTCATCATATTCTGATGAGTCCACAAAAGTAATAGGAAAACTGTGACAAAATTAAAGATTGAATTCACTTTTCAGAATCTTGCACTTGTACAATTAATTTAGTATAAAACGAGCATATATAGGCAACGTACCTTACACATAATCTTAGTATTTAATTCTTATTGTCCAATGTTCGTGGTTTAAAAAAAACATAGATAGGTAGAGGACAGAAAAATTTCTCTTAAGACGTTTTTCCATTGTCAAGTTTTTTGTGTGTAATTTGTCAGTGTTCCTTGAATGACTTTGTTATTAACGTGTCGTTATGCTTTCCCCTGCTGCTAACTTTGATAGGAAACAAGACACAACAACCTCTCAAAATTATTGACCTTTGAAATTACAGTAAAAGTTTAAATTCATTCACAACTTTACTGTTACCAAGTTAATCAACAACAATCAAGGAATTTGTTTACAAGATCATGTTGTGGATTATATCAGTTCACGTATCTTCCAATAATCTACAAGTACATGTTGGATACAGCTCGCTAGGGACTTTATTATCGTCTCTATAAAGAGGGAAAACTTGCAAACCAGTGCAAAAGGAATAAGAAAGCGTAAGGAGAATTGTACTTGTTAAGTTAAGTAAAGTAACTCCTTTGTTATCGATACTGTCGTCCTAGAATAACTTTGGGTTCAATAAGTAACACCTGTAACAGGATAGGATACGAGGATATCTTGTTTAAGTGTGGTGAGTTGATTATCGAGCTGCAACATTCAAGCGATCATTAATAATTTTATGTCATGGAAGGTGAAAAACTGTTATAGCTATAGCCGTACTTACGCAACGTATCCTCTAGTACAGCATCTGACTAAATGCGAAAACGCTGTGTTTAAACAAATATTAAATATGACGCTTTTCGCTTCCTTTAACATTTTATTTTCCACGAAATTACAAATGGACTATGTCATATAATTCAAACCTTCTACCTTCAGAACCAATTTTGCCCTTAGTCCTTACTGCTATTGCATTTCGGGCAGTAGCTTATATAGTGTAGTGTTCGACGATGCAGTAAACGTAAATACTACCTTAAATAAGCGTTCAATATTAATGTGATTATATTTGCGGTTTTTCAATACTTTACCATCTGATTGTTCCATGGACTCCCTAATTGGTAACACATGTCACAGAGACCACCCGGCTTTGAAAGTGGGACAGAAAAAAAAGAGATTTAGTGTGTGAATGCATTATAGGTAAGAAAGTAAATTTTACATCACTTTTTAGAAGGGCAATGTAACTGAAAGACACTATCCATCCTTACTGCTATTGCATTTCGGGCAGTAGCTTATAGTGTAGTGTTCGACGATGCAGTAAACGTAAATACTACCTTAAATAAGCGTTCAATATTAATGTGATATGTTTAACACGCTAATGCGGATAATATTAATATAAATGATATGCGGCGATTACGCTGTATTGTCTACATACATTCATTCGTTGCGAGATTCGATTTTATTATAAGTAAAATGAGTAAATTTATGCAACTTATTGCATGAAATGAAACGGTTAAATAACGAAATGAATATCGCAATTAAATCATGGTATATCTCGGATGTTATTCAATGATATCGAAACTTGGCAGCCTTTCATTTAACCATAACCCTTTGAATACTTTTCTCAATGTTCCCATTTTTTTACTACCATAACCAAGCCTCCCCGCCTTAAAAAATGTAAGTAGCTGCGTTTATCTTTCGTCACTGCCATTAGCAAAATTACTTGTTTACTATCCCCTTATAACGCCAGTTCTCATAGTGCCAGAAAAGTTCAACGTTCGTTTCGCTGGTATATTTAGACAAATATTACAAAATTATATTTCATGAGCCGGACAAATTGACCAAACACCCCCCTCTCACCATACAAAAAAAATAGTCAACCGCCAGTATGACCGTCAGACCTTTATACTCGTTTGTTGTAGAGCAAAATACGTACCGAATTTAATTTAATATCTTTGGATCTTCATTCAAAGGAATTTAATAATAATTAACAATGATTTATTAAAGGGAGAAAGTTTATCCACTACATGTATGTGGGGAAACTAAAACACAACCGACCCCTAGTGGAAAACTGGCGGATACAATATACAATTTTAGATTCATAAACATTTTCCAAATTTGGTAAATTATAAATAAATACCCGAAAAGCTAGGTAACGGTAATTTTCTTATGTTTTATGATAGCCCAGAGGAATACTAAATAAGAAACGCGTGTTCTAGCATTTTTGGGAGCATAACGAAACATCTTGGTCTTTCAATTTATTTTGAAAAAAAATGTCTATTTCCGTACCCTTTACCACCCTACCACGCCTTCTATTGACAAAATACGTGAAATTAATTGAAGGAAATAATCTATTCGTTAGTTTCTTTTTCGGATGATCGAATATTTGGATGTCTGAATAATTTTTCATCTAAGAGACCAATGTGGGTACTTATGGGTAAATTATGGATATGTTGTAGACGGAAAAGTAAAAGATTCAGCTTATACAAGGAGTGGCGGTTGGAAACAGATTAATAAATTTTTACCAACTATGGAATATATCATAAAGTTCTGGGATGCACCAGCATCTAGGATTCAGCACGTAGACGGAAACTTAAGCACAAATTACACTTCATAACAGTTGTTGGCAATTCAGAGCGCGTTTCGAGAGTTATATGCATGAATGACAATCAACTGCATTAATTTAAAAATGCTGGGCTACATGAACAGTAAAACGATTATAACCCACGATCGAAAACTGCCACTTTTTTAACTTGAAAGGGTAAATAAGTAGAAAAAATACTTTATTATATACATAATTCTTTCTAACTACCTATATGAAAAATAAATTACGAAAATTAATAAACATAAACGTCCAACTAAAGGAAAATATAAATATGAGTTCGTTGTGCCAACCATTAGTGGAAGAATGGGGCGCATCACGTTGCATAGCCTCCGAATGCTCAGCTGCAAACATACGTATAATATAATAACATATTATTCATACACATAAAATTTAATCGTACCCTCTACGACTACAAGTCGAGCTGATCCGGGCTTGGCGGAAGCTTGCGTGCAAGTATACGTTCCACTGTCTTGTGGTGAAACCTCAGCAACTCTTAATCTACTAACGCTATTAAGGTCCCTATAGTCCGTTTCGACGGAAATCCCTCCCCGTCCGGACTGAAGATATTACACAATTATCACGTAGTTTATGTAACTACCGTACCTTACATTCAACTTACATCGAAAGATAACTGCCTCCCCTCGTGAAACCAATGTATGTGGGGTTGCGAACCAGATTGAGACACAGGTGTCCTCCAAGAAGGCGATGATGCTGATATTTCGCAAGTAAATGTTATAGGAGTACCGACCCTTGCGTAAACTTCCGGAGGTCCCTTTATACTTGCCGTATAGATCCATTTATTAGTAAAGTGGAAGTTATCCTGTATCTTGAGTGTATCTGTAAGTTTGTTTAGAACTGGAGGCCTCTAATAAAGTTTTGTTAGAACTCGTACCTGACACGGTTAAATTAATTGCGAGACTCATTTTGGGATCCGTGTTTACTTGGCATTCATATCTGCCGCTATCAGCCAATCGCACTCCACGCACCCTTAATCCCCAAAAATTTGTTTGAATTGACGAAACTGACTCGAATCGATTGTCGGCAGAGAAAGTGAGCTCCCCAGATGTTAAAATGTGTAAGTCCTTCGTGCGGATCCAGGAGACCTGAAATAAATGCACAGAGTTAGGAAATGTTTTCGCATGAAATTAAAATTAAACGCCGGGTAATGGAATTGAATATCCTACTTTCGTAAAGCATTTATAAAATGGAATTGAATTAAACATTTGATGCCTTTATAATAGTAGGTAGGCATTTATTTCTACACATTAATTATCATATAAGGTTTGTTTGTTAAACATATACCTACAAACGCCAGACTTTTTAGATGGATCTAAATGAACATTGCATAAATCATACTAGGGTTTATTGAACATATAAACTGTCAAACGATTTTTTACAAAAAAATATCCGTTTAATTTTTCACTTTCTCCTATTGGATACAATCCGCTTATTATTGCTATTAGCGTTCATTAACTAAAAATTCACCTCATTACTATCATAAATTAAATTTGTGCACTTTCTAAAATTGCCCAATGAAACATAATAATTATGTGTACGAGTATCGGCAATCTGTATAATTCATCAGGTATTCTACTAATATATGCAATGCCTAGGGAATGTATGCAATTCTGTTTAGGAAATATTCATAATGGGTGGTCACGTTTAAAATTTTTGATCTACTACACCATCCTTTGCAGAGATACGAGTTTTTTAAATTGACCTTTCTGAAGGACCATGTATTACTTACAACAAAAAACCAAGGATAATGTATAGTCGCGTTTCAGGTCTTAGAAGGAATTCACCTAAAAAAATAAAATTTTATTCTGTACAGTTTTGGCTCAAAATTTTGAAACTTTGTTAAACGAAGAGACGTTTCAAATCCCTATTTCATATTGGTTTTAATAAAATGCTTACGGTTAAGTATAAGTATGTAATTTGGATAAGACTTCAAAGACCGTAACTAAATCGTCTATATTACGCTAAGGACAATTAATAAAAAACAATTTGGTGTACTGTAGAATAGGTAATAGAGAAATCTTTAAGTCCAGCGCCAATAACCCGACACGGAAAAATGATTTCATGAGACTTTAGTCTAAGCCAAGGTAAGCATTTTACGCCTCTTACACTTAATTAAGATTAATTTTACTTTTCTGACTGTGATTATGGCGAGACGCCAAACGGCTATTACGCTTATTAGAGGAATTACGTGAACTGTTTTAGTGTAGAGTCCAACAATAATCCCAGACCTCCTGCAAAATTACAATATAATTTTATTAAAAAAAATAAAATTAGATAAAATTATAAAAGTAACGACACGGTTAATTATAGTGGCGCACAAAACTTGTAAAATATCAGTAGTCGACGAAATTTCCTTTTTTGCGAGACAAGTCGAAGAGAATTTCGCAACTTTGAAAGGCACGGATGAGTTTAAGCACTCGCAGCGCTTCGAAAACTACCAATTGTTGCGATAACAATACGACTATTTACATAGATTTCAATTATGCCAATGTTAAGCCGAAATCAAAGTTGTAACAGAAGCTCTTCGTAGTCGATACGTGCTTTGAAGTAATCTTGGTATTTACCAACATTCCGAAAATTGCTTAACTTTATATTTAAAGTATCTGGAACAGATTTTAAGCATTGCTATTGTAATTACGTTATATAGATATGAGTTGGGGTACAATAAACTTTATACGCCATCACATGACATAATCGCTGTCTATTACCCAGTTTGCGTGTATACCTATTTATTATTTAGCGATGGAGAAAATCATCGTTGAAGGTTCCAAAAATGCGACTGAATTCTTTTATTAAGCTTGATATTTTCTTCCGTAGGAGGTTAATTTAATGAGTATTCCATTCTTCCAAACCTCATGTACGGATTTGGTAGGCGCGTGACATTATTGTGTTTAATAGTGACAGGTGTCAGGTTCACTTCGGATGGAAAGTTCAATCCGATCAAGGGAAGAACTTTTCTACAAGGATGCGCTATCTTAGAGCAGGAATATTACAATAATTTTTACACACTGTTTAATCACAAAATATAAAAACTAGGTACTATCCCAATTCACATGATCTGCAGCGTACAAAAGGTAGGTCAAAAATCAGGACAAAACACTACGCCTGTTGATGGCCTAGTAGTACTAGTCGATAACGCAAATTCCAGATAGATGCAATACGGACTTAGATATGGACGGAACCAGAAATCCTTCACTCGCTGATAAGCGGTGATTTTATCAAACTTTTATTGGAGAAGCCGAGACAGGTCTACTAAGACACTATTGTAGCATGTGGGGCATTGCAAAAGCTGTATGTAAGATGTTATAGTTTGAACCATAGAGGTTAAACTAAGGACATCGCATTGGCATTTATGTGTGTACGTATCTCTATAAGCCAAACATGTTCGAATTATAGATATCATTTATTATGAATTCTACAATCCGGAAACATGGGTAATCCGAACGGGTTCTGCCAACTTTCTGTTTGGATTAGCCATACATTACTGTATTAGGCACCTAATTAAGAAATACTGAGAACGCATATATATCACTATATCAAAGAAAAAAACAAATTTTTTCACTAAAATGTGGATTTAAATCTGTTCTATAGGTAATTAATAGGAACTGGAAACTAATTTCACGCCTACCTATATAACCAAAGAGAGGTAAGTGGATATATAAACCAGACGAAAATTCACAATTGATTTAACTATCACTTTATAATGTAATGAACGGTTTCGTGTTAAACTATGGTTGTTTATTATAAGTAAATCAATAAAATTGATGACTATTACCAGATAACTTTCCCACTTTACGAAAAATGCTCCCTATCGTTTTCTATTGACAAGTTTGTAATATATTAATCACAAATGAAGTAACACAAATTAACAATCTATTTCAAGATCAAAGCTTGGCAGCTTTGTAAAAAATGGGACTAGTTCACACCTTTGGCAGTAAACAATAACAAAACGTTAACACAAACATTTCTTTTAGAGAATATTCTACCCTTTTTTTTTTTTGTTAAGTACGACTTCGACTGCTAAGGTCTTTTCGTCTACTTCTAATCACTTGTAAGGTCTTATTACTGCCGCATTATATTTTGTTGTACATATTAATCAATTTTAGGTAGTCAAGAGTACTTCTAATCCGGTCATCGCTTTTAAGATTATCAGATAAGTTTCTCATTAATTTCTTTTCAGCTCTTTGGTGGTTATGTGCTGCACAGTCGCAAAACTAATTCGTCGGAAAACTGGTTACCAATGAATAGAACACATTTTTGTTCTTTTAAATGTATGTACCTAATTACCTTATTTTTTTGTAAATTTAATAATAATAATTGAATTATGACAGTTTATACAAGTCAGAAGCACATTTTTAGTGCACTACAATAATTTTTCCACCCCGACACAAAAAAATTTGTATATTACTCGCCTATAAAATGCTTTATGAGGATTCGTATATTTGCAGATGTGCAAATTTACACGTACAGATATTCGCAAATACTCATTTTCGGACTGTCCCGCTTGTGGTGACAGTACAGCGTTGATTTTGTAATTCCGACCGTCACAATCGAGTTTAAATTTCTAACTTAAAATATGGGCGCTTCAACCATTATGAAAGCAATGCCACAATAATTATCAAATATTATTCAAATTTGTACATTGCTCCACTGACAATTTAATAAACTGCTTCATCCCTAAGGTGCAACTTTCGCCATTCCCTAACCTCCTAGTAACCCTTTTTACCTCTTGCGGTACAAATTTTAATATCAAATCGGCAAATCATTTGCGAATATGACTATTGTCAAACAGCAAATTATTACGCGTTACTATAGAGGGTCATTATTTGAAGAAAATCTATGTTTAGCGCCCAGGTATATATCAAAAATACTTACAGCAGTATTCTTATTTAATAGTTCAGAACTATTATTAGAACGTTTTTCAAGCTAATTAAAGATCATAATTAGATTCTGTGACCGTTATTGCTTTAAGTGCATTATAAGATGAGGTATGCCGCTCTAATTTCTGACCAATTATTTAAGTGTGTTTTGGGGATGATACCTTTCATACTGTTTCGTAACAAGTCATTAGTACGCACATCCGCAATCATTTTAAATTGTTTGCATACAATAGATGTAATTGGTGTTTAATGGAGCAACGTTGCGCCTCGTGGCAGTCGAATATAGGTTGAATCCAATACAAGAACGGATATTTACCTCATAATAAGAAACTCCTTTCTGGGAAATATACATACTACATGTAAAAAGATGGGTTAGGCACTTCAGTTTACGATTATTTTTCTTCAAAGTTTTAGTGCAGATCACCGAATTTAAATTTAACCAATTTTACTGTCGCAACTTACACAGTTACAAAATTGTTTTGCAAATCGATCAGATGAATTAGAACGCTTCTTTCATTTCGTATGAGCAGAACCATCATGAAGTAAATCATATTGTGCCCATCTGTCCCTATGAATGATTTATCGACTCTGGGTATTTGTTATATAATTTTAAGCTTCACTGTTTTATCATATCTTAATACCTCTAGGAGTAACTTTAGCGTATTTTCCATGAATTGATCAGTACATTTCCCGAGAACTTTTTTTTATTTCTTGTATTTGTTTTTACAACCTTACCGAAAATTAAAAAAAAATAGCCCTCGTATCTTACTGTCCATGTAAGATAGAAAAAAGGTAAATACTGCCTATTTTAGATATTTTTACTAAGAAACCCGTGACGTGGGAAAAATTCTATCTATTTATATATCTTATCTCTATGTATATATTTTAACGCCAATTACTTGCATTCGTTTTCCCGATTACATTGATGAATCACACCCTATATTTTTTGTATAATTATAATACTATATCATATTTTTCAATATTTTGAAGTGACATGTTCCTACCGTCAACCATTTTTATTGATTGGTATCAACTGTCATGAATACAAAAAAGAAATCACGAAATCTCCATGAATTCATGGCCTACTATTTAAAAACCGCGGTAAAAGATAAGGTTTTGTAAAATTAAAAAAAAATATCGGTTGATACATCAGTGTAATCAAGAAAAAAAAATGCAAAAAATTGATGTTAAAATATACAGGGTGTTGCATTTAAAAATACCAACTTTGGGTCAAATCTCAAAGAGGGTGGTCCAAAAAACTAAGCCACTGGATTCTATGTAAAGATATCTAGAATGGGAAATGTTTATTGTTTATATTTTTCAAGTTCCGGAAAGGTCGCAAAAACAAATATAAGACATAAGAAAAGTATTATACACAAGTGTTAGTCTTACATCTTACTATTTCTCAACGTAATCCGTAAGCTGTTTGGAGATCCATCGTGCACAAAATTTGTGGTTGTTGAGTTGCTACAATGTGATAAAGTGCTGATCGAGAAATTCAGCAGACAGTTCAGAAATTGTGAACCAGTGGCGCTCTTGAACCACAGTGTTCACTTTTACGACAATGTCGTATGTTGTTCCGGACTTCCTGCTATGGCCTCCTTCATCGAAATATCCTACACGTACATCATTTTCGCATAATGTTTTCCGCGTACATAACACACAATCTTGAATTTCAACCGCAGTATTGCCTTCAGCTTGAAGAAAACGGATCATACAGCGAATCTCGCAGTTAGGGGGAGCTTCAATGATGGAGTAGCCATGATAAAACAACGTTCACAAGAAAACTACGCCACGTAATGTCCGGCCTGGTTGGCAGATAGTGACAGATAAATTACTGAACACTAATGCGCAAGCCACACGTCGCCATGACACCTAACGGATGACACCTAACGGAACTTGGAAAAAAATAGGCCTCGTATGATTAAATCCCAAAAAGTCAAGCTTTTCGTTTTCGCCTTGTATCTCAGAAAGAAATAGTAATTCTGTTTGTGGTAGTAAAAGTTTCACAAAAAAGTGTTTGCAAAATTGAGAAACTACAATCTAAAAAGGTCCGACTTGATAAATTTGATTTTTTAGACAAAGAGGTTCTTTCTTGGGCAGAGTAATAATTCCACAAGGCATTAAACTTAACCCATTAAAATTGGAAGCCACTAAGAACACACCTTAGCAAAAACCGCAAAGGAAATTAAATCCTTTCTTGGCTTAATAATAGTTACTATCGACGATTTTTCAAACATTCTGCCAATATTGCTCAGCCGTTCACTACACAAAAACAAAATGGAAGTCGCCCTACCAATGAAGACTATGTAGAAGCATTGAAGATTTTCACACAACGATACAAGCCTTTCGTCAATGCAAAGGATTACTTCTCCAATACTGGCCCACCCAGATTTTAATTTAATTACATGTGACCACTGATAATTCCAAACCTATTTCATTATTCTCCAGAACATTTCAAATAGCGTAGAATGTACCTAATTATTCTATGTAGAAGGATTTGCTATCTATTGTAGAGATTCCGAAACATTTCAGACCTTATATTTATCCGTTTGTCTATAAATCACTCAAATCACGGTGAATCAATAGGCGAATTAACAGATCCTCACTAGTAAATATTTCTTTCGTACAAAATAACGGAGTCACTGGAATCGGAGGATTCTAAACGACAGACTAAAATATATCAGGTAAGAAAACTAAGGCGATCTAAGAATAGTAGATTACAAAACAAGTGTATAATTAGGTCTTTAAAGCACGCGAGTGCCTTAAGAAGTTGCAAGTGCTTTAAATATCAATTAGACACGCGTTTCATATAGTATTTTTTTATTATACCGGCAATATCTACGATTAAAAAATAAGTGAAATTAAATAAAACCATATTGACTCTAATGCAATTCTAATTAAGCGTTTTATGAATATTTGGTTGTCTAACACCTAATTCGCGAGACTGCACCAACCATCCCTTATGTATAATTCATATTCATATAATAGAGCAATTTTCTTTGAAAGATAAAAATGAGGAATAAATTTTACATATTTACATTGACACTTTTTAATCGGCGATTGCTGTATTTATAAAAAAAACGATAGGTATTTGCGTAATAATATTTGCATTCTCTAATGCGAAATGTACACATAAGTAAAGTACAATTAATTTTTTATAAGCGATATGTTCGGGGTGAGTTATTACAAAAACGGACATAATTATCATACGTACTTTCAACTTTGTAATGTGGATAGAGGCTCCGAGGCCTGAGAAAAGTTGTTGGCGTGGATGAATAGGAAGCATTTTTCAAATCTTTAAATGCATCGATAATGTGGATACATATATCAAGGAAATGTCACAAGGTGTCTTTTACGCTTTTGTGAATTAATTGAAAACTTGAAACCATGCTCTATTTAAAAAGTGGAAGAGATTTGGCCGTGCCTTTGTGAAAACTTTCAACGATGAATAAGAGCGTAAGACATCTTTTTAGTTTGCAGAAAGCGACCAGAGAGGATTTTTTATTTCAGTCTCAAATTAGCCGACAGAATGCTCGAAACTGCTCTAAGGTAATTCCCATCTCTGCCACAGAGTCTAGGTTCGAACACCCGACGCTCTACTACTGAACCATAAAGCCGGTTTTTAAGTTAATTATCAAAAATTTATTACTGTCACCAAGGTTCGTCAATTCCTTCCTTCAACGCAATCAAGAAATAATTAATTAATGCTTAAATTAAAAATAATGAAACCACATTAAATGTGTGTAGGTAAGTATTTAAACAATGGTGAAACCTTTCTACTACTCATGTTCTAATTCTAACAATGAAATACAAATTATACATTTATTTTTTCCCCTCGTTTCGTATGGGGTTAGAATCGAATTGATGGCTTAAAATAGGTCTTCGTATCTCACCTTGGATATCCACTAATGTATTATACCGTGAACACAAAGGTATCACATGAGGAAAAGTGATTTGTAGGATGAAGCCCACCTGTAGTTTAGTTAGATTTACGGAGAGAGGTGTGACAACACTGTTCATATAGCGCGATAGCAGAATTAATAATATGTAATTTAAAGTTGGAGCCCATCAGAATAGGCTGCCTAACCTCTACGTAAATAAATGTAAACGAACATATTAATTGCATTATAAATCCTTATCCTATTGGTGATATGGGTCAGTAATGTTATACTACTAAATAGGCCATAAATCTTCAGAACCCTTCGTGTCGACACAGGACATTTGTTACTGTCAAAAGGTAAGCCTTGAAAATAACTTGTTCTATGCAAACAGATACAAAATGTTAGGTAACATAAAATGGATACCTGTCTGAATATTTATCAAAACCTCATCATTAAACATTCGATCTTGATTTACGATCACACCCACAAATTTTGTAATAACAACTTACCACTTTATCTCCTAAATTTCGAACCGTACAAGGTAGAAGTACAGTCTGGCCTGTTTTCGCTTGTATTTCCCTAATCAGTAGATCGTCAAACTCGGGCGTTGGGATGCGGTGATTTGTGGCTTTGGTACTTGTTTTATTCCACGTATACCCTAAAACAAGAACATTTATAGCTTAGTTTTAGTTATTTCGAATTGTTTTATAGGAATTCTCATTTTATATTACGTAGTTTAATGCTGAAAGATTGGCAAATATGCGGCTCGTCTATTGTTAGATTGTTAGTAAATGATGTATTAATTGGATGATATACGTCTTGGAGAACAAAAGATTTATTTCAGGCGTCTACTAAAACAACCAAATCTATTATCATCTCATTATAATTTTTTATTGTGTTAGAAACGTTGTGTGATACCTACACTAATTGATATTTGCGGTAGAGCTAACATAAAACAGAGAATCTAAAGTATTAGCACTTTTGTCTGGTTGTCGACTAATCAAATTTAGAGTTGGCACAGAAAATTGGACTCGGAATCGACTTCCTCGTCAACTTTAAGCCCCAGTAAAAACCTTTATAAAATTGTTTCATGGTGTATGTTTAGCGTTTTTATCTACAAAGGTTTTACGCTAAAACGAGCATTAATAAAGCTTGCTACGACTGATTATCTTAGATGAAATGTGGCGCATCACAGATTTATGGCAACCTGGGTAATGGAACACAAACCGCTGTTTATAAATAACCCAAACTTCGCTAAAAAAAAGAAGCTGGTGCACAAGAATATATTATGGGTCTTCACAGCACCTCGATTGGAAACGCAAAATTAAACATGTTTTAGGTACATTTACCGTGTAATGATATAGTAGGCGTTAGTCCCATTTAATTGCTAGATACAATTAAAATGTTGTTTCAGCAGTCTGTTCTGTAGACCAACTATATTCCGTATGCATAAAATCAAATTGCGCTGCTTGGAGGGCTTGCAGTTGTATTTTGTAAACAGTTTTTTTTTCTGTGTGTGAATAACTACCAGCTATCCTTACATTCTAAATTTTTACGTGTGGTAGAAAGAAAAGAAGACACATGCAACAGCCTAAATCTAAAAACACGCCAATACTGGTCATGTCGACTACTCGTAAGAAAACTAGTTAATCTATTTTCAGTACCGATTCTACGTGAGAATATTGAATTATTTAAACCTTAACCCTGAACTACTATCGCCTTTTCTCAGTAACTTAACTAGGTACTATTCTATTGTAACACATATTAAAAAAATATGAATACTAGGCATTAATAGCTTGCCTGTAATACGATAACACTTATTTGTTTCGTTATTTGACAAAAAAAAGTTAAAAATTTCAGTTTAACGCTTCAAGTTAATTATATCTAATAAATTGATATGCTTCAAAAATCATAAATGAGCAGATGTTCATTATTGAGGATTCTTTTTTTATTTGTTCTAGTTCTATAAGGGTCTAAACTACTACAACACAAATCAGAAGATTGAAATTGTAACATTACAAAAAATAAGGGATAAATTTAGAAAAAATCGACTACTATCAGGGGTCACTTTTGACCCCAGAGGGCACTTACCACGAATATAAGCAAACAAAACAAAACAACACCCAACTCACACTGATCAACAGCAACTTGTAGGAGAATAGTAGGAGGGACGTACACGACACCAGTGCGAGTACGAAATGGCGCTATATACTTCTTCTTCGTCTGGGTCTATATTGACCCCGCGATAGTAGTTAAGGGTTAAGTTTAAAATTTCAATTTTTACCAAAAAAGAACGAAAGTGAAAAGCACATAAGTCATTTTGAAGTATGTAAGTAGATTTAGGGGACGTGTGCGAGTGCGACACTGCATTCTTCGCCACATATTTAGAAGCAAATGTCGGGGTTCTCTACATGATGTTCGCTAGACTTAAGAGAAGAAGGGTTTCCTGTGTCGATAAAGAAAATGTCGAATTTCACGCTATTTGGATGAAGTTGGTCAAACTTTTAGGTAATTTAGTTTTGTTACGGAGATACGAACTCCATCAGCGTCTTCTCGGACTTCGCTACAAGTAAGTTTCCATTCTATATACATGCCGGTTGTTTTATTGAATATATACGAAGATATTAAATGGTGGTTTTCTATAAACCGTAAGCCTTTGACGTTTTCCCACTAGTAGGATCCCGAATTTCCGACCCTGATCCTTTTTTTTGTTTTTGGTAGAGGTTATCACTTCCTGTTGAGGAAGCTATCCAGTCTCCGGACTCTCAGAGTTTGAGTTTCATTTGATAATATTTATTAAACGATCTCGTTTTCATTACATGAATTTATGTCAGTTTTCAGTTAAACTTGATAAGGGTCGCAAACGATGGACAATTGCAGCGCAGAGGGCGGTCACTCACCCTTTTCCATTCATTTCAGGAGATGATTCTCCAGATGGTTCGTGGTCCAGATCTGTAACACCCGTTTTACTGGTTCGACCCCTTAGCCTTCGGTTTCCTTTCATGAGGATCAACCAGAACAACTCCAATTAGATGTAAACATCCTGAATATTTTAGGAAACAAAAAATCGGATCCAAATCTCAAAAAAGGCTGCATCCACACCGACTTAGTGGATAGGTGGAGAGAAATCTTGCTGAGTATTGTGGAGCGGGATAGAAAAATTATTAATAAACAACATAAAACCTCGGTTTGATTATCGGCAAGATCCGCAGATGTTTATCAATCCTTCCCCAAACCCTGAAAACTTCATCGAGGTTTTTAGCGATATCGCAAAGATCTTATGTGGCTTGCAACACGACGACTCCTGAATCCGCAGAAGCTTAACTATCAATTCTGAGAAAGGGTCCTTAAAGGGATCAGGGAATTATTGGCACCTACTTGTTTGAATATAACTAGGAGGAACGACTTCAAAACTCCAAAGTCCGGGAACGGTCTAGACAAGATCTCAAGAAGAAAAAAACTGGCAATAAACCTCTTCAAAAAAACTTGGTGCCGCCTAAAGGAACAAACAGCCATGCACACAATTTGTGTTGAAGGACGGGCCCTAGAATTACAACTCTTGACAACAGCATCGACACAGACATCAGTTCAATAATTATCGAACGGAGACACAGAGACCCCGCGTACGAATTAACTCGATCTGGATTTCTAAGTAATGGTGGTAGTTTATAGAGGAGTGGTGGAACGATTTTTGTTGGAATGAAACTGTTTTATCTTGCATAAAGGACTATAAAATTCCTTTTGTTGACATACCTTTTCAACTGAAAATTCCTTCGCAACTCAAAGGTCGCTTAGGGAAATACCAAATACCAAAATACCGTGTAGGTAGGTAATGTGCTTTGTCTTTGCGTCTTGAGGTCCTTTCTTCGACATATTCAAGCAGATGATCGATTGTTGCAATTCGGTGTAGAGTATACAACAGATGTTTAGAAATAACGCAAAGCACAGTTAACACATCACCTTACAATTATGTTATGATGCAAAGTCGACTTTAATATTTGCTCAAAATAGTTGGATACTATATTATAAGATAATACAAATTCATTCTTTTATGTAACACGCAACGATAATAAAGATTTAATACTTTGTAACATATAAACAGACTGACGACAGTTATAAGTCTTTGAGATCTTAACTTTATATAATATACGACACGTTCATATTAAGATATCAAAAATACATAACAAAATTAATCATCAATTTAAGGCTTCACACAAAATTAAATAAAAATGTTATGTTAATAACATCGGAATGTTGATGGGAAAACACAAGGAAAGATCAAAGTAGCGATGTATGAAATCTTCACATTCCGAGACATAAAAATGAGAGAAATTAGTAACATTGGCAAGCAACCTTCCTACCGATTGAAATACGACAACAATAATCTCTTCAAAGCAGATGACTGTGTAAACAAACATTTCTCAAGAATCCAATGTGGGAATAATTTCCCCTTTATAAATAGGATTAAAAATTATGGTTGTGGGACAGGTTAGGTAATTGCACGTGCTTTTCTGGGAACTTTATTTTCTTTTTTTAAATGAATACTTTTCAAACATTTGGTTTGGTCCACCACCGGTCTCCTTACATGTAGAAACTTACTTTTCACAGATTGTTCATTCTGTTTGAAATGAAAATGAAACAAAACTCAAAACGATGTTAACTTTTGACAATTGGACAGACGGACGGGCAGAGAAAGTGGCTGCAAGAGCCGTTGGGAAATGCTAAAAAGAAGTTTAATTTCAAATATTTGAAAAAGCATTGTTATAACCTGTAGTCACAAATTTCGGTGACAAATGCAATGGCTCATTTTGCAGTTTAATTAGGTTCGAGAAAGTTAAATACATTTAAATTAAATGACAAAACCGCCGCAACAAAATTAAATTCACGCAGTACTTTTCATTTTAAGAATATTAATTTCTATCTCTGAATAAGAGATTATTTACTGTTTGCCAACGACGCCAATTTGAGGGAAGTACAGATAAAGGAACAGTAGCTAATTGCAAATATTTTTTAAAAGTACATTCAAGAAGTTAGAATTTGTGGTTTATGGAATAGTTGAAACATTTGTATTTACAACTAATCATTTTACGAATACGGCTTCATTATGAATCATTAGTTGCTATCGTAAAGCGCATTAAGTAATTATGGCAAGTTTATTACAATATTACATGCTGGGTATGGAGTAGCTTTCAATTTTGCTATACACCATCAAGCTGCGGATATTTCTCCTGTATAACTGTTTGTTAACACGCAATTTAATATAATAGCGTAAACACCAGGTACCCAGTAGTAACTTTAACCAACCGAATTTCCCCATTAAAGTAATGGCTTTGTATTAGCACGTAACAGTGCGTAACTTGTGAATGGCCCTTATAAATGTAAAACAATTTATTGTATAGTGCCCATAGGTGACGGGTTTTTGTGGCTTAGGACCACCGTATATCTATGAATATTAACCGCATTCTGTTATAAAATAATGTAGATCCAATATTCCGATAGCTCCTACCCGATCTATTTTAATCAATCTACTTTTAATTTAGCTCACAGCATAATGGAGTTGTTAAAACTTTTTTTCTATAAATATCATCTGTATCTTTTTTAACCACCCGGTAGTTGGATGTGGACCAAACATTTTCTGCGTCATATACTTGTAAAAAC